GTATAAAGCAATAGACCTCCTTATCCAAAGCGTTTGTCTGTGTAGGTGTTCCAGGAAAGGGGGGGGGTCAAAGCAGTGATTCAGGGGAGGAGAGAGGAAGGGAAACGGAGTTAAACAGAACGATCCTGGTGGAGAGGGGGAGCCGGGTTGTGCCTGCTGTGACCCTTTGCAACTGGGTATGGTGAGGAACACACACACCCCGCCCATCGGAAGTATCCAGGGAAAAGACTCCTGTCCTTTTTCTGGCAGCCACCCCCCCGGTTCACGCGCTGCTTTTCCCCTCGTCCAGAAGAACTGGGGTCCGGGCTCCTTCCTCTCTCCACAGCCAGCTCTTGAGAGAAGTAACATCTTCATCGAGGGGGAAAACGTGAACTGAGAGGATGGGGTTTGGTGTAAGCTGCCAGGTGGTGGGCACAGGACTGGCAGCTTCCCATTCCCCCTGTCAACATGTGGGGTTCAAACGGAGGGGGGGGGTCGGCACAGGTTGCTTTTTTCCTTCCCTAAACGTTTTGTGGATCTGGTTTCCAAACTTTGGCTGACTTCAGATAGCGGGAGTGGTGGACATGTATGTGTGCATGAATAACAGAGAGAGGAGAAGACACTTGGGCGCACTTTGCTTAGATTTCTCACAACCCTGAAGTGGAGCGTTGCTCAAGATTTCATGAGGAGGGCATTCAAAAGGGAAGCTTAGACGAGGAGGAGAGGGAAGAGGTGGGTGCTGTAATCCAGGAGTGGGCCCGTCATGGCTCTCCCGATGTTGCTGCCAGACCGCAGCTCCCGTCACCTCGCTGGGCGGGCCAGCAACATCAGGAAGGCAGCCAGCGGCCGACCTCTTCTTAGTGTTGAGTCTTCCTTTTCCGGAGGATTCCTTGGAGACACTGGGAAGTCTAAAATCCAGGGTGATGTGGACTGTTGGGAGACTTTTTAAAGAACCAGAGACACCCTGCAAGCCCTAATTCTTCCCTTGGTTTTTAAGCATATGGTTTTTCCTTCACGACCGGAGGATGTTTCTCTTTGGGGAGGGTTAGGGTGGAAGTTAGAAACAGCCCCCATTGCTTCCTATCCCTCTTTTTCTGGGCATGATGACCTCAAAAACATTCTCTGTAACAAGAAATAGTCACTAGGTGGTTATTTGGGGAAGGGGAGGGTGTTCATGTGTCTTACAGGTTTTTATTTTTTAGCAGAACACTGAAGCCGATCGGGCCACTGTAGTAAGCCAGGCGCACTTTTTCTCTGTAGTTCCAGGCTTCCCCAATCCCTGAGGGGCTACAACTCCCCCATGTTGCACGGTGGGAGTTGTAGTCCAACACACATGGGTGAGCGCGTGTCCACGTCGGGGGGGGACGCTGTCGTAGTGTGTCTAGATGC